ACGAGATTTGCTCTTGCTGGCGAAATTAGGTTTTGAACTGATTCAAGAGAAAAATTTCATTAAAAATATTACATTTGTAGAGACTTGATAGTACAATAAACTTGTCTATTTCTAGCCTTCTTTTATTGCTTCAACCATCTCTCTCTGTGTTACTTAAATATTCTCTCCAGTATTGATCTGCTTCCTCATCTTTAGCTGAAGGATCTTCAGAAGCATTCTTGTGCTCCTTTGATTATGAAATTTGATCTTTGTAGGTAGCCAATCTAGTTTGAATACGCTTCTTTTCCTTTAGTTTATGACTTTTCTTTTTCGTATTTGCAAGACGTTGTGCAGAATGTTCCCTTGTGGTTAAACGTCTTTCTTTTTTTTTTTCAACCTTCTTCAGTAAATTATCTTCTCTTGCAAAATCATGTTGCTCATTTCTGAGAGGCATGTAGCTATGAGTTTTTCCCTTCATAGCTAACTCTTTCTTGAAGTATTTATGATGAACTGGATGAACACTTAAGATAGTTAAAATTACAGTTTTCTTGAAAAATAGAACTTAGGATAAGTTCTCAAAACTTAACTTTGGACTACTAAACTCAGGTGGATCTTACAAACCTCGTACCCTGTTGTTGCTAAGAAAACTAAATATATTTTAAAATTTCTTAGAAATAGAACTCAAGGGGAGCTTTCAAACCTCTTGCTCTGATGGTATCTAAGAAAATTTAAAATAGCCCAAACATTGATTATATAAATACTCTTGTTTGTCATCATCAAAAACGAGTAGATTGTTAGAACAAGATTTGCTCTTGACATTTTCAACTTAGGTTTTGATGATAACAATAGTATTGAAAGAACAATGGTGTTATTTAATGTATATAGTTCATAATGCTTTAAAAACTTACTCAGGATCTGTTGTGAAGGAATGAATGTTGTAAAGGAGAACATATTACTAACCGATATTCTAGAATGCATTCTGATGTTGATTCTCTCAGCATCAGAAGAAGCACCTCATTAGTTCTACTCTCAGAATTGAAAATAGATTTGATAGAGTGTTCAACATTTCTAACAAACCTCATGATTATCCGTACTAAAGAAAGAGTACCAATATGTCTAATCATTTTTGCATCTATAGTCTACAACAAGGCTCAACAAGTGTTGACATACTTTTTGGATAACCTCTCTCAACGACTCTATAAGTAAAAAATTCTTCTGAAGACTTAGTGGTTAATTAAGTTACACAATAGATCAAGATCGTGAGTGTATCTTTTCTCAAACATCTCTTGTACTTAAAGAAAATCAAAGTACTTCCTGATTATTCATCTTCTCAACGACTAGTTCCCAGAAATATGATATTTGTTGGAAGTTATAATTAAAAGTGTTGAACAAGAAACAAGTAGCAACTGAAATGCAAAAGAGGATAAAGGTGTTATACACCTCTATTCGATTGAAGAAATGACAAAGATTAACAATGAACAACACTTTTATATATGAAGAATCCTCTATTACTGTTGTTAAATGTAATAAGGCTTAATGTTTCCTAAATACTGAATATCCCAGAAATCTTTAAGTACTTAATATCTTTGTTACAGTCATTACTATGTGTCTTTGATTCTGAATCTGATACACCTTGTTCCCCTTTCTTTTGAATAATTTATTCTTAAGTAAAGGAAAAGTATTATACAAGAGGTCTAAGCAATGATGTCTTAGACATGTACTCTAAGCAAAGGCAAAATCTTGGACAAGAGGTCTGAGCAAAGAATTCTTAAACATGTGCTCTAAGCAAAGGCAAAGTCTTGGACATAAGGTGTGAGCAAAAGAAGTTTTAGACATGTGCTCTAAGTAATGGAAAAGGTCTTAGACATGTGCTCTATGCAAAGAAAAGTCTTAATCAGAAGCTGGTTAAGCAAAGGAAAGTCTTAGACGTGAGCTCTAAGGAAAGTAAAGTCTTAGGTTGGTGGTCTATACAAGATAAGTCTCGGTCAGGAGCTGATTAAGTAGGTGAAGTCTTAAACACGAGCTCTAAGCAAGATAAAGTTTTAATCAAAATCTGATTAAGCAGAAAAGGTTCAGACTGTAAGTCTGTGTTGTAAAAGTATTATGCTTAAATACATAAGCAAGTGTATTATGATAATAAAAATCTCTTGCTAAGCAAGGGGACTGGAGTATTCTCAGTTAGGGAGAGGAACCAATATAAATCTATTGTCTTTTATGTGTTGTTTACTTTGCGTCTGCCTTCAGTTCCGCTGCATTTACGATCTCGTTCTGAATGACTGTTTAGAATCATATCTATATTCTAAAAGAAAAAGAAAAGAAACAAATTTTAATTCTTGTCTTACACAATTCAAGACCGGTTATGGTTAGTAACAAGACCGGTTATATCTGTTGTGATGAGTAGTCTGAGTTGTGGTTAGTAACAAGACCAGTTAGATCTGTTGTGATGATTGTAATCTCTCAAGATTATTGGTTAAGTCCTTGTCTAATGCGAAACCACCTTGGTGGATAGACTGAAGTAACTTTGTTAACAGTGAACAAGGATAAAAATAATTGTGTCTATTTATTTTTATTCCCTTGTTAACTTTGGCGTTTGAATTTCCAAAATGATCACATTTGGTAGAAACCCAATTCAAACTCTCATTTCTTATGTTTCTCATAAATTCATGAAGATCATCACAAGAATGTGTGGGTTAAATTAAAATTTTAGCCTTATATCCTTTGTTTCGAAAATCTGTGAACCAAATCACGTTACAACCCTTAAAATACCTAATTTCTTTTAAAATCATACTACAACAGGATTGCGTTAACCTGACTCCAAAAGATCTTTGCTAATCATTAGTATTGATTGCATCATATTTCACAATTTAAATGGCTAGATCAACATTGTGTTTTGATCATTGACACGTTTGCTGTATATCACCATCATTTCAATAATGATTGATTTCAAACCAACAGGAACATTGCATTAAAATTACCATTTTTGAATGAACAAATTTATTTGCAAAATAAGCATTCGACATCAAAAGAAGTTCCAACAATGTGCAGTCAGTTGAGGAAATTGATCATGTGAAAGAAGTCCAGTCATGGGCAAATCACTTTGAGAATCGGTCAATCTGAGCCAATCACCCTAAGAGTCGGCTAATGAAAGAGTAAATCTCTTGAAACTCAGACTGGGGAAATCCACCTCAAAGAGATAAGTGAAGCCCACTCTCCAAAAGTCGTTTAATCAAAGGCAAACCAGTCTAAGATTCGGTTAGTCAAGGATCACTGCAAGATCTGAATATTGGGGCAAGCCGCCTTAAGGTCATGATAAGATGTTTCCAAAAGCCTTTCGAGGTAAAAAATTTCAAAGACCAAACAAACCAGGGCAAGATGAGCCACCGAGAGACAGGTCCTTTCCAAACTTTCAAGTTGCTCAAGTGAAAGTCCTACAATACATCGGGAACCATTGAGTTCGAAATGAGTGTCGAAAAGTCATGCTGGAAATTACCTCTCATTAAATAACCATTTTCCTCTACCAAGAAACCTTGTTGCAAAGGAATCCTTTCATTACCCACCAGAGGGGCACGTGGATACATTCAAGTCATTGCATAAATCATCCTCCTACATTAATCATGTCGCTTCGCTCTCGTGTCATTCTGTGCATATCATCACATTCATCTAGCATATTCCCATAGTATGAAGCCTAAAAAATCAAACACCTTTTAAAGTCCAACCTTGCTTGGCAAAACCAAAGTCCAATCATCCATTTGCATTTCTACATGCATTAGTCAATGCACTTCATGCATCTTTTCGTGAATAGTATATTCACATAAGGATATTTGTCAATGAATTTTTTCCATCAACCTTTCGATGATGATACTCTTTAACATGTCTGTTGATTTTTCCCACAATTAGAGACTATCCTACAATTTTCCATTATGAACTTTTCCACTGCATAACTCTCCCCAATAAATCCTTTATTGAAGAAGGGTTTTTTTATTTTATTTTTTATTTTTATGTTTTCACACTATGTAATAAATATTGTGAGATGACTTAACTTGTATGTGTTAGTTTAGTTAAATATATATAAATTATTTTTTAAAGCTTAATTTATGACATAATTAAAGAGATTATTAATATTTATAAATAAAAAAATTATTAAAAAAAATTATTCTAATGGCACTCTTAAAATTTTTAAAGAGCCAGCATTCCTTAACATTGTTATGAAAATTATTGTTTCTAAATTCTAATATAAAATTTGCAATGCTTCTAACACTAGTTAACATCAACATTAAAATATACACCTCGTTTGCCCCTTCTCTTTCAATCAATTATTCACAACTTTTAATTTTATCATCCACCCCCTAATAAATTAATCAAAAAACGATATTGATATTATTGCATCGTCATCACCATCGTTGTCATAATAATAATAATAATAATATATTTATGGATTTATACCAATAATGTTCATTGCTCAGGGCCCACAAAAGTGATAGTTCCTCCCTTAGCTAAAAATTGATTGAACTAGTCATAAATTTAATTAGTGTTCACACATAAAATTGAGAAACTCAATTTTCTAATAAAAATAGTAATCATGTATAATAATAATATATTTATATGTATATTTATGTATTTATGTTAATTATCAAAAGAAGGCTAGAATAAAATAAATAAAATAAGAAAAATATATTATAAATAATGGATCCCTTATTATCAACTATGAAGTAACAGATTACAAACAAAGACATGTTTTGTCAAAATATTTAAGTAAGAAATTGACGTAAATGGGTCTAATTGAAACTTTCAATTTTACCCAAAAAAAATAACCCTAGATTCTTGAAACAAAAGGGTACATGATGTCATGACGATAACATGGTCAAAAGTTGACCATGCAAAAAAGACTAAAAAACCCTTCTGCAAAATGAACCTTTAGAGCAAACATTTTGATTTTGTGGAAGTGATTATTATTGATGAAGAGCTTAAAATTTAATTGCTTTATGGTTTGATTGTAGTAGTGAACAAATTATGAAACTTGTTCACATGAAAGATGAATATGCTGAACGTAGCTTTCTCACAAGTTCCTTCAATGTCAAGCAAAATCCAACATCCATCTGCAAATAAAATCAAGATATAATTCACATACAAATTCATTAGCGTAACTTTTTATATACTATCGATTAATCATAACATATAAGCTCTAACATAAATATAATACTGATACTGACACAGCAATATTAGTAATAGTTTGACTCATCATCATATGTGTCAGTATTATATCAGGGTCAGTGTCAAACACTAGACACATCTTTATTCAAAATTTCGATCGGCTACATAAGACATAATTATTTCTAAATTCATACTATTATTACCTGAGCAATAATGGTAATATCAAGGGTGAAATTCCCAAAAGTCAAGGCACTGCTGTTGATGACTTTTAGATGAAGTTTCTCAATTTCACTCACTGTTTTCTCTATAACTCCTTGACTTTTCAAACAGTGAAGTCTAATGAGAACACTTCTTTCACAAAATCTTGCTTCAATTTCAGGTAATGTTTCATCAAATGTATTATCAGTATCTGAACAAGAGTCTTCAGCATCATAAGATAGTTTAGATTTCTTCACAATTACAACAGATTCCACAGTTTTCTTCCTTTTCTGTTCCTCCTCAAGAACACTCACTTTCTCTTCCATTTGCTTCAAGTACCTTATAGCTTCTCCAAGAACAGAAGCTTTATCCATCTATATGCAGAAAATTATCAAAAACATTAACAAACATAAACATATCTTTGTCACATAAGCAACTATATTAAACCCAGAATCAGGGTCGTCTTAGGTTTTCAGAGACCCTGTGGCAAATTTGAGACCCTGTGCTATAGTCTGTCTCAGAACCCTAATAAATAACATCAAAAATTACATTAACATTAACAACATTAATTGATACCTTCTTTAGGTTTGGAACAAGAGCCGAAAGAGCGATGAATCGCTGGCTAAGCTTCTCGCGACGCTTCCTTTCAGCCACAATGTGATCATGAGCTTGAGAAGGTTTACTAGGACGAGTCTCAACATCTTTAGCCTCTTGAAAAGCCTTAAAGACATGGTTCTGATGATTCTCCGACAAGTGTGCTTGATTCATCAACATGTTTGCAATAGTAGTAGTACTACTATCGATTTTTGGACACACCATCATCTCAGACTTAGGCTTCAATAGTCCCAATTGATTCGCATAATTCGAATCAGCGAACGAAAGAAGATTCGCATACTGTGTTTCTGATGTTTGAAGATTACTGCTGTTGTAATTCCAGCTGTTATTCTTGAGCTGTTTCGCTGCTCTTTCAGAAGCTTCCATGCAAGTTTTGTTGTTGAAGTTTGGAGTATTTGACAAAAAATGTTTCTGTAAAGCACCTCCAAAGTCAGAAGCACTTAAGTTAGTTGTATCAATAGAATTTAAGTGATTATTCCACTGATGTAGAAAGTTAGGATCCTCTATTATTCCCTGCAAAAACACAAAAAAAATCAGAAAACATTAGTACAAAATTTTCAAAAAGTTCATAGAAACATTTCATCAATCAAACATGTATCTTACCAATTCTGGTAACCCTCTGATTGATGAAATTTCCATATGAGAACTCATTTTGGATCAAAAATCAGAAGCAAAAGTTAATCAGTTTTTGATAATTCAACTTAGAAGATTTGCATTATGATATATGGTCACGGGTTTGGATGTGAAATTGGATTTGATACAAGAATAGAAGGCTATATATGAATGAAGGACATTATAGAGTTGATACCAATTTTATATTATAGAAGTTATTTCAAGATGACAAATAAATAAGTTCAATAATTTGTTTTTTTTTTGGACTTTGGGGGTGTTCTTCACCAACTAGACATTGAAATTTTGATCAAAAGGGTTTGCAAATTATTAGAAGACTTTTGTGGTCCCTTAATTGACACGTCTAAGCCTTTTAAGGTTATTATGCTAAATTTATCTTTACCCTTTTGTCCCCAAATTAAGTTTCTTTCGTAGATATCATTTTTAAATTCTCTTTGGTCAAAGATTGTTGACAACTCATATCATTTATTGATAAAACTATACTTATACATAGAAGTGAAAGAGAGAAAACAAAAGTAATTTTAAGGGGATTTTTTTAATGCATTCTATGTATTATTATGACATTATATGAAAATAGAAAATGTTCTTAGAATCTGGAGATGTATTTTTCAACGCATCAGAAATTAAAAGAAGTTTGATTTAATGTGAAAAAACTACAGAGATGGAGTTTTGTAAACATTCTGGAGATGCATTTTCGGATACTGCTTGCATATAACGCTTCAGATAGACATGCATCTTTGTAAGCATTATGGCAGATAGAGATGACAGATTGAGGTACATCATGATTCCACATAATGCATTTGTCCAGAGGGAAAAGAGTCGAGTTTCGCAGACTTTGGTTGATACGGAGACGTCGACTTTTGAGGCTCATATATCTCCACATTCTTCTTTCCATAGGAGATGGGTGTTACGTAGTGACGCATCACTGCCTTCATCTTTCCGTAGGTGACAAGTTTCCCCTACTCAGACAACAGAGATACCTCAATCACTAGAGGCACCAGTGCCACCCCAGGCACCGGAGGAACCTCAGGCTGATGTGATTGATAGCTAGTGCCACCTCATACTGATAAGGTTGATGAGTCAGTGCCACCTCAGACTGATGAAGCTGATGAGCCAGTGTCACCTCAAATATTTGGAGGAGGTCCGTTAGAGTTGTCATTGTTGCCTTTTTACCCAGACCATACTACCAGATATGTCTGGGACGAAGAGGTGAAATTAATTGGATTCATTTTTTTAAAATTACATTTATTATTACGTTACAAGTTTTTAACGATGATTTAGTTTCCTGCAGGATCATGACCCGTTGAAATTCATTCCCATTGGCAGAAGACTACTGGCTTGTATTAGTTTACTGACGGGTGGTTTCAGATTTCTTTACAACTATGTAAGGTGAAGGACTCATGCATGACCGATTATGTTATGGTAAACCACATGATGCTTAATGCATATGTAGAGAGATGACATACTTAGACCTCATTATTTCATCTACCACTTTGTGATATGTCTATCAAACTCAATGATGTGTCGTGCCTGCTACATTTTCCAATTAGGAGGAAGCTTTTAGATCATGGGAAGATTAGCAAAGACGAGGCGCCTGAGTTGATGGTAGACTATCTGGGAGTTGACTTAGAGGCTACCTTGAGGGAGTTTGAAAAAAATCAAAGGGCCTTATGCTAGGTTTGAATTCCTTAAAAAGGTATATACATATGAGCTGGTTAGAGCAAAGAAGGCTAGAGGTGATGTTGAGCACGTGGGGTAGCATAGAGCTATGCTATGCGAGCATACTTGTTATATTAGGTTGGCACTACCATTTTTGTGGAAAAGAGTGTCACTTATGTGGATGTCGTTTACCTATGATACTTCAAGGACTTTGAGCATATCCATGAGTACAAATAGGGGCTGCTAGTTTGGTCTACTTGTACTCTAAGTTATCTAAGGGATGTAGGTTGAAGATGAAGCAGGTGACGAGAATCATCACACTTTTGATGGTAGTATTTATTGACCATGTAGTGTTTGTGTGTCATTTTCGTTACATTTTTGCAACGCCCTTACTAATGATTTTTGTGTTCCAACATTTTTCAGGCTTGGATCCTCCAGCACATCCTACACATCTTTGGCTAGTCGGGTGTATCAGCATATATTGAGGATATGTCGCGTCCTTTTGCATTTGCCCCGCTCATAGGGAACCAGGTGACATAGTCGTTTTAAGTGTATCTTGATCGTTTGGTAGTAGAGCATATGCATTTTAACACCTATGTGTCATACCCCAAATTTGTCCTACCTGTATATAGCTTCCATCTGTACATCCATCCACTATTATTCATATAATTCAAAATATGTAATGCAAGTTTGAATTCAATATGTCACAAGGTTGGGTGGAGAGAAAGTGAGTTTTTTCTAAGGTTTATCAGGAAAAGGTTTGTTTATTTGTCAAGGCCATAATGTGCAACGCACGTGGTGGTTGGGTTTATGACTATGGTTTATGTGCCAATCTGGATCGATTTTGTGTGGATTAGGATGTCAAGCTGTGTTGAGTTCAATAGAGAACCATGCAGGACCTGTGCTTTTCAATTAGGGTTATATGGAGCGGTGATTAATTCAAAGTTTTGGTTCAAGAAGAACTCAAAGATCTGTAGAAAATTGTTTTTAAGTGTAATGCCAGAAGTCAACTCAAGCATGACTTATTTCATATTAAGATTCAATATTGATTCATTTGGTTTCCATTCTTGAAAAAATTAATTACAATGCACGTTGGGTGCAATTTGGATTCAATTATTTTTGGCTCATTATCACAGAGAATTTAATCAAAACGGTTGCTAATTCAAGATCAAAAATCAAAGAATCGTTTTAGCAAGTTTCAAGATGCAAGTAGTAATTATCAAGACTCAAAGGAAGTCATAATTCAATTTAAGATTCCGTTATTGTATTTGCAAATCCGCAAAGCCATGTACTAACATCAAGCCCAAATTACAATATGCCAAGTCCATTTTGAAATTTGCAAAGGAAAATGATTCTAGAAGATCATTGTTTTTATAAGCCCATTCAATTTACATAAAAGAGCCTTGGTCCGTTTTGTGTTATAACCAAGAAAAGTTGAGTTGAAAAAACAGGCTATGAGGAAATGACGCACAACTGTACCACTCCCTTCTTATAGGCCAACATAGTTACTGTGTTCTTGACCACAAGTCATCACAACCATAAATTTTACACCTGTAAATGATAGAAAAGTAACAAGAAAGAAAAGACAGCTGTAAGGTAAGAAGAGTATACGCATCACAAAATTGGTTTCCGCGCAACGATTCCAAAACCAACAAAACCTTCAGCAAGCCCATATATGGCCCAATTCCCCTTCAACAATCCCAAATGCCATTCCTGCTACCGTACCGCACCTGATTCGCGACCACAAGAGAAGCCTGCACTCAAAGAAGAAAAAGTGAGGTTCGCAAAAAATGACAAATTATACGATTCGTAAATCATCCACACCTACGTATACTAGTGTAGCACCACAATTCACAATTGAAACCGTACCACAAAATCACTAGGACGCAGAATCTCAACGCCCATCGCAAAATATCCTAAGAGGTTCCCATTGAGTACAACGAACATGAGAGGTGCTAATACCTTCCCCTTACGTAACCGACTCCCGAACCCGGAACATGGTTGCGACAACCCTGTTCCTCTCCTTTTGTTTTAAGAGGTTTTCTCGATATTTTCCTCTCCCGTTTATTCGGGATAAATAAAGTTCGGTGACGGCTCTGTCGAACCGCATTTCCGCGCCTTTCGTACGAGGGTCTTTTCTTCGAAATGTCTCCGTGATTTTTCGAGGTGTGACAGCTGGCGACTCTGCTGGGGACTATTGCTCCATGCAAGCGAGAGTCGAGCCTATCTTAGTTTGGATTGTGAGCTTGTTAGCTTTGCTTAAAATTTTTCTCTTCTTGTTTGTTCATTTACTTATTTGTTTCCTTATCTTTGTTGCCCGTGCTTGTGGCATTGTTGGGTTGTTCTGCTTATGGATACTCTTGTGAGATGGCTCTACACCCGAGTCCGAGTAAAACCCTAGGAGTAGGATGGCGGTTGTGTAGTGGAAACTTGCGTGGGTTCTTCCACGTGAAGTTGAAGCGAAAACCCCGCTTGGAGTAGATTCCCTTGGAGATGTTGTTGTTATGATAAGTCTTTGCCATAATAATAACGTTTTTGAGCCTAAATCGTTGATCCCAAGGACCTTTTAACTTGTTTTTATCCATGGTGGTTGGTAGTGTTGATTCCTTTTGGATTAATACGAACGCCCCAATCAGATGAGATCTCTTGAACGTATTACTTCCTTACAATAATATTTTCAACCTCGATCCATGAATCTGAGAACATGTTCTAGAACCCGTGTGTCGATGGTTATGTAGTTAATGCCTCCGAGAAGTCTTTCTCGTGTGGAAGATATGAAAACCTCACCTAGAGGAGATTCTTTTGAGGATATTATTGTCGTGATGAGGCTTTGTCATGGCTGTGATATTACTGAAAGATATCCATGACTCTAGGTACTTACCCGTTTTAGAATCCTACCTGTGGGGTTTCTTTGAGCAGTGATTGTAGTCCTTGATCCGTTCACCCGGCTAACCTCAGAACTGTTTGAATTTGTGATCCTGCGATCGTAGATCTTGCATCTTAAATTGCATATCATTTGCATTGCATTTCACTTGTTGTGCATCTTGAATTTTCTTTCCTTCAGCGGTTTCTCATTTCTCCTTCCTATCCAGTAAATCAAGTTGATTCCTCGACACCAGTACGCAACTAGAGCCAATACAAGACGAATGATGAAGCAGATTCAGCAAGAGCAAGCTGCTTTCACAGAAGAGTTAAATTCTCTCAAAGGAAAGATTGACCAGATCCTTGAAGCCATCATTGCGGCCCGAAAGGAAGAAGAGCTGTGTGAAACCACTGCTGTTGTCAACAATGGTCAAGGGCAAAGGTATACCACAAGACTTTCAGTTCCTATTCCCAACCCCTATGGAATACCGATGAACTTC